AAAGAAAAGAAAAGAAAAGAAAAGAAAAGAAAAGAAAAGAAAAGAAAAGAAAAGAAGAGGAATGGAAGAAGCCACTATGGTAAAATCTCAAAAACTGTTGAATCTGGGTGATGGATAAATTAGGTTCTATTGTACTCTTCCCTCTACTTATGATGTTTGAAAACAGTCAAAGTACCAATGTGGTTGTTGATGGGATTTGGTTCCTTAAGGGCTGTGAAACTGAGGGCCTCTGTTCCTCACTGGCTGTGGGCTGGAGGTCTCCCTCAGTTCTTTACCATGTGGGCCTCTCCACAGAGCAGCTGGCTTCCACCATAGCAAACAAGCAAGAAAGCAAGAGAAGACAAGACAGAAAGCAGCCTTCTTATAAACCTAATCATCAACATGATCTTCTGCCATTTTCTACTCAGCCCATTCTCAAAGGGAGAGAGAATTACCCAAGAGTGAATACCACAGGGTGAGATCACTGGGGCCATCTTGGAGGCTGCCTTCCACAGATACTAAATAATGAATGGAAGTTGTGAGCACATGAATTAGGCTTCACTGTAGGATGATTCTGCTGGGTCATCCAGTTGGGGAACTTCCAATGTCAACTTAGGGTTTTTCTTCTTGGGCTGATCAAATTTCCCAGAAAAACAAACGAGACTTCTAATCTCCTTCCTGGAGGATGAAAGTTGGACTATCAGTCAGTTAGAAGCCAAATAGAGAAGAGGGCATCCATCATTCCTTTAATCTCCTTTTGACATGCTGGTACCTCTTCCAAGTATGTCTGGTGTCCCAGGTTCCAAAGATCCTCTGTATTATCCTCTCCAGAGAATAAACTGTAGGTCTTTTCCTGGGTGAGGGGCAGTTACCTCCTATCAGAGAACTGAGGAGGAAATCTGGGGATTTTTTTTTCATAAATTTTCAACCAGTCTCCCTGACATTAGTGTGCTTTCACCTTCATTTCCAGAGGCACCTGTTGCGATTCATTCATGAGCTTTATGCGGACTGTGCAGTAAAAACTTGGTCGAGTCCTGGATTTTCCCACTAGTGGCTTAGGATTCAACTTCCACGAGTCTACTACATTTCCAGTTACCACTCATTCATCTGCTTTCCAGCTTCCAAACCTTTGTTGGCATTACATCCTCTATTGCTCTCCCTGCCCTTATGGCTTTAGAGCCTTCCTAAAAGATCCCCTTACTGTCTTTGTAGTGTGATTTCAGGAGGGAGCCAAAGGGGCTGTGTGTGCTCAATCCACCATCATTAGCCTCAGGTACTTCTTTACTATTATTTGTTGACTTGTTTGTTGTCTGTCTCCCCTCTTGAATGTAAGTTCCAGGAGAACTTGTCTATTTCATTCACCTATGCATCCCCAGAACCACTGACACAGGTAGGTGTTCAACAAATGACTGAATCAATTTGCCAAAGAAGGAATCTTGCTACTCTCTGTCAAAAAGTTGGTAGCAGACCCATGGCTCCTGGTTTCCCATCCAGCGCCCTTCCTGCCACAGCATGTGTGGGATGTAAGTCATTTTGCTAACTAATGATACCTAACAGGTTATATAAAGTGCTTTACATGTTATAAGGTGGTTTCAGAATGTTATCTCACTTGATCTTGACCACAGCCCAAGCCAGATAGAAAAAGGATTATTACTGGCCCTAATATAGTTATGACCCTTGCCAAGAACTATCCTATGCCAAAGAAATCACCAACCTTGTTCCTGACCTTTCACCTTGTGCCCACTGCCATTCATCTGGCCCTTTCCATAATTTCCTCTGCAAGTGGAACTCTTAAGGCCTGTCTTCTCTCAAGGAAATGGTCCTCAAAGACCAGGACCAGTTCCCTCATAAAGAAGGAAACAGGTACACACATGGGTAAGTAATTCAAGGGCTTCTGAGCAAAAAGGATGTCTGAGTTTTGTGACATCATTAGAGCAGAAGAAAAGAAAAGTGGGACTCTCCAAATTCCTAGAGCATAGAGAAGAGGTTGGTACCGGGAGGGTGCTTATATGCTAGAAGGAGAGGGAAGAAGTCCCAGAATTAAAGAGCAGTATAGGTATGGTGGGGAAAGAATGGGATGGAAATAACCATCTACCATAACCAGCAGACTCTCATAAAATTAAAATAAAGTTTAAATAAAATAAAATAAAATAAAAAGTGGGGAGCCTGGGTGGCTCAGTCGGTTGACCATCCAACTTTGGCTCAGGTCATCATCTCGCCATTCCCAAGTTTGAGCCCTGTGCCAGGCTCTGTGCTGACATCTCAGAGCCTGAAGCCTGTTTCAGATTCTCTGTCTCCCTCTCTCTCTGCCTTCTCCTGCTCATGCACTGTCTGTCTCAAAAATAAACAAACATTAAAAAAAAAAAAGTAATGAAAATCTATAACATAATCACAAAGCCAGTTAGAAAATATTCCAGACAGCAGGTCTTATAAAACAATGACATCAAGATCTTGAGATCGAGACTGGCTTGGACTCTGAAGAATCTGAACTCTACCTGAGGACCCCAGGGAAAAGTGAAAGCAGGTACAAGGGCCCCTTGAGGGAAACACAACCTCAGAAGGCCACACCATGTCCCAAAGGCACAGGGCACAGAGGTAAGAGGCTGTAAAGAACCCCTTACTTCCCCTGTGCTAGATGTCGTCCTCTTTTGGAAAGTGCCTGCCATCTCCTGGGTGCATAAGGTTACTACCTACCTCCAGAGCCCGGGATAGCTCTGGCACCACAGAGGCTGTGGCCTTGCTAATGACTCACAGGCAGGCAGGCATCTCTCAAAAGCAGAAGTTTAGGGACGAGGAGTTGCTAAGCCTGTGACTAATCAAGTCTTGGTGTGGAAAGAGGTGCAAGGCACCTTATTAAGCTACAAAAGCAGTTGCAGGAGAGTGCACAGCAAACGGCATTATCTATGATCTTTAAAATAAATATACAGGTATACCTCAGAGATGCTTTCGCTTGAGTTCCAGACCACCGCAATAAAGGACGTCAAATGAATTTTTTGGCTTCCCAGTCTATTTAAAGGAATACTGTAAGTTTATTAAGCGTGCAATAGCATTATGTCTAAAAAAAAAAAGCAACGTACATATCTTCATTAAAACCTACTGTGTTGCTAAAAAACGCTAACCGTCATCTGAGCTTTTAGTGAGTCATTATCACCGATCACGGATCACCATAACAAATATAATAATAAAGAAAACGTTTGAGATATTGCAAGAAATACCAAAATGTGACCACAGAGACACGAAGTCTGCACATGCTGTTGGAAAAATGGCGCCGATGGACTTGCTCGACACAGGGTTGCCACAAACCTTCAATTTGTAAAAATAAACGCAGTTATCTTCAAAGTGCAATAAAACAACACACAAATGAAGCATGCCTGCACGTAGCAAAGCAGCTAAGTGTTCGGAGACCTTCGCACACGCAGACGGCACTGATCTTTCAGCACACGCTATTCAGCTCCTCACCAAAGCACACCGGTGATGAGGTTTTTGGGGGGCGATGGGGAGGCTTTTGTGGGGATGGTCCAGAGCGGAAGGCCAAGAAAGAATTCTTGAAGATGTCTTTGGTGCAAAAATGTGATTTTATTAAAGCACGGGGACAGGACCCACGGGCAGAAATATAAAGTTGGGAAGGTAAAGTCAAATGGGAGGCCTCCAGAAGGACTTTGATATGCTAAAGAGGACTCCTAAGATACTTGAGGCCTTGCTGTTGTCAAGCTAAGGTTCTTTTCCCTCTAGTAAGGCATTAACATTATGACGGCAGGGGGTTCCTGGAGAAATGTTCTACTCTGAATTTGCCTCAGGTATTTGTCAATGGGCAGCAGGTTATAAGGAAATTTACTTTTCTGCCATTTCCTTCTGGCCTTTGTTCCTCATATCACTACGAAGGGGTGACGTTGGGGTTTCGGGAAACTGAGTCTACAGGTTTCTGGAGATTAGGCAGTTGGTAAGATTGCCTTTTTCTTGTAATTTACTAAGATATTTACAAACTGATGGAGACTCAGGTCCTGCAGGACTGTGATCTCTATCAGTTAACCATTTGCTTTCTTTCCTTTCCTTTGTCCTTGGGCAGCCAGAAGTGCCTAAGGAATGTCACAAACATCCCACTTGACCGGAGGGGGGCGGGGGTGCTAGCTTATATTTTGCCTTCAGCCTGCCTTATGCTCATCACCGGCACCACCATGACTTTTCCCCTTATAGAAAGGGAAACTGAGACTCAAGAGTGATCATTAAAGAACTTGCCAGCCACCTCACAGTAACTAAGTGGCAGGGGTAGGACTAGAACCTGGGCCTGTGTGACTCTGGAATCTGAACTCTCAGCCGTTCTCATATACGGCCTCCTCAAGAAGAGCATGTCCACGCATGCACACAGGCGTGTGTGTGTGTGTGTGTGTGTGTGTGTGTGTGTGTATAATTCTGAAAGCTATGCAACAGTCAACAGTGGTTACTTAAGGAATTAGGGGAAAGGGAAGTAAGTCAACTTGCATTCTGCTACTAAACAATTCTGTACTGTTTACATTTTTTCAATGGCTATGTATGATTTTATAACAAAAATATAAAGTCTTATTTTAAGTAATAATTCTGCTCTCCAAAGAGCCACAGAAAAGAAAACTCAAGTTAGTCTAGCATTTAGGCCCTGTTTACTGAGCAATTACTATGTCCTAGGCTGAATGACTATGTCCTAAGGACTTCGCATTCATGACTTCACTGAATGCTCACAACCAGGTCTAGAAGGAGGGCATTGTCATTCAGCCCCTTTACAGAAAAGGAACCTGAGGCTCAGGGATGTAAACTGACCTTATCAAGGTCACATTACAATGCAGGGACTCAGCTCAGGTCTGACTGGTTTCAGACCCCATGTTTCTACCTACTCCGTATGCTAGTCACAAAGGAATGATCACGACGATAATAGCAATTTAAGTGCTTACCGTGGGCCAGACCCATGCTCTTCATGCATGAGGTCATCAAATCTCCAAGGCAACCCCAATTTTACAGATGAGGAAACTGAAGCCACTTATTTGTCCAGGGTCACCCAGCAGAATTGGGACTGGAATCCAAATCACCATACATGTGTCCACCCAGAAAAGAGGCAGAGCTAAAAATAAAACCAAAGTACTTACTTGCACTTCAGGGAGCACAGATTCCATCCCTCCTCTGGGAACAAAAGTCAAGGGTTCCTACAGACAAGAGGGAATGCTTATACATACTGTTTACAAAGAATTTGGATTGGTGTTGGTAACAAAAAACTAATCTTCGCTGTATATAATTGGTTGCTAAGGCTGTCACGAAGCGAAGTCTCTTACTGTTGCAGGTGTTCGGGCTGAGTCCTTGGAATATTTGTTGTTTGGCCCAGTTCAAATGCTCACCGTTTCACAGGTGAGGACAGGCATAAGGCACATCTTAATGGCCTCCCGGCTCCATTTTAAAACCCCTTGACATAAGGGGTTTCATTACACCTATCACACACGACGTTGGCATCCACCCAGCCGCTCGAACCAAACACTCAGTAGTTATCCTGACTCCTTCCTTTCTTTCCTTTCCCTCCCCCTGTCTAGTTTCGCTTGGTTCTAGCTTCTGGAAGACAGGAGCTTGCTTCTCCCTGTCCAGCTACCTCAGCCCAGGTGGAAGCTGAGGCCAACTGGACAAGGGAGCCTAAGGGAAGCTGATAGCCGCAAACCACCCCGCCCCCCCAAGGTGGGATGTGCGTGATATTCCACCGGCCCTTCTGGCTGCCCAAGAGGAAAGAAAAGGACAGAAAACAAATGGTTAAACTGATAGAGTCTCCGAGTTTACAGGAATCTCATCAATTGCCTCAGCTCCAGGAACTCCCTACTATCTTAAGAAAGCCTTGCTAAAGGGAAAAACCACCTTAGCTTGACAATACCTGGGCCTCCAGTAATCTGTAAATCCTCTTTAGCACAGGAAAACTTTCTCTTGCCTTTACCTCCCCCAACCCCACAGTATATAAGCAGTCACTCTGCACAACCCCACTGCAGCTCTTCCTGCCCACGGGTCCTGTCCCCGCGCTTTAATAAAATCACCTTTTTGCACCAAAGACGTCTTCCAGAATTCTTTCTCGGCCATCAGCTCCAAACCCCACCATCACCCCAGAACCCCATCAAACTCTCAACTGGGCCGTTGCGAAGGACTTCGCACTGATCTCCATACTGCCCTTCCTTCCTCTTGACCCCTATCCCATTTACTCTCTACACCGAGGTCGACATGGTCTTTTTCAAATCTCTGCCTAAATAACCTCTCGTGCAGTCTTTCTCAGGGTCCTGGGAGAGAAATAAGCCGTGCGGAGAATGGTATGTGGGATTGTTGTCTCAATTTTCCTAAGGATGATACTATCTAATACCATTTTCTAATAAGATAGATGACCTAATTCACTGCATGTAATGGATGCCTTGGGAGTGTTTGGGCTTGATTCTCTGCAAGAACTGGGTGGAGAAGGCTGCAAAAGCTTCTTGTCCTATTTCAAGTATCAGCACCCACTAGGCCCTTGTGACCTATGGGACACCACATTTCCACCTCTGCAGGCTCACTTCCTACTACCTTTCTTCATGAGAACAAGAGCTCGCCTCCATTTCTCAATTATAGAAGCCTCATTCCTGCTATAGGACTTTTGCACAGTCTGTTCCCACTGCCTGGAGCTTCTGCCCCAGGCCTTCCAGGGTCAGCTCCCCCTGTTAGTCATTCAGGCCTCAGGCTCAAATGCTACCAGCACAAAGAAGCCTAGAGACAATGACAATCCTTGCTATTCCATTGCCCTTGTTTTCTTTCTTTCACAGCACGCACTTCCCCTGGTCTGAAAGTGCCTTCTTTCTATATTCACTTACCTAATGCGTGTCTCCTGAGTTCGAGCTGAGTGCCACAGGGCAGTTCTATTTTATTCAGGGCTGCATCCTCGATAACCACTGGAAAGCTTTTGCACAGGAAACCAATCTGCAAAAAATACGTTCAGAGAATTTATCAGATATTTTATTAGGTGCCAGTCACTGGGCTCGGAGCTTTGCAAGGGGTCCCATCCACCCAGCACTGTCCAATGAAAATATAATGTAAGCTATTTCCAATTTTCTAATAACCACATTAAAAGAAAAGAAACAGATGGAATTAACGTGAATGTATATTTAATCTAACATGTTTAAAGTATTATCATCTCAACATGTAAGGGATTTTAACAGATTTTTTTTAAGTTGTTTTTTGGTTTTTTGGTTTCAGGTTTTTTGTTTTGTTTTGTTTTGAGAGAGAGCGTATGAGCAGAGGAGGGACAGAGAGAGAGGCAGAGAAGGAGGATCCCAAGCAGGCTCTGCACTATCAGTGCAGGGCCAGACGCGGGGCTTGAACCCACGAACGATGAGATCGTGACCCGAGCCGAGATGGAGTCCGATGCTTAACGGACTAGGCCGCCCAGGTGCCCCAAAAACCTGCAAGGGATTTTAAAAGAGAGAAAACATTTTTGTACTCCTCCTCCATCCCTCCTCCTCTCTGCCTTCTAGGTCATGAGGAGCTCTGCCCTGCCTCAAAGTTTAGGGGCTGGCAGGCTCCCACTTCAGGACGGATCCCCAGTGTCCCCCCAAATGGCGTCTCAGCTTTCCCTCCTTTTCTGTACCTCTCGGTGCGCACGGGCCCCCCAGGACCTGTATTGTGAGAAAGTGGGGAGGCAGCCCTCGAGTGGGGCCTGAAGATGCCTTCCTGCACAGACGCAGAACCCAAACAGGTGTGACTCGGGACCAGGGACGAGCTGCCGGGCCAGCAGCCGTCTTACCCGGAAATGAAGGGATGCCAGCTTTGGAGCATGCGCAGGTTAGCTCGAACCCGGAAGTGCACGGGCGGGGGCGCACGGAGAAGTCCCGGCTGACAAGAAGCGCAGATCGCAAAGCTCGAGGCCCAAGCCTTTCAGCAGGGGGAACGGAGGAGGAGGTCGTGTTGGTGTCTACAGCTGAGGTGAGACCGGAGGTTGACTTCTCCGCTGCGGGTTTAAGAAATCTAAGTTTGGGCCTTAAGCGGGGGTTGAACCCCTGAGCAGGATCTTTGCGGGGAGGGCGCTGGACCTCAGGGATTCTCTGAGATCAGGAAAGACTTTGTGGGGGTGCTTCTTTGGAGTATATCGACAAAGGAAGCAATGCCAAAGGAAACTTTGTTACAAACATTGTGCCACGTTATAGATTTACCTTGAACGAATTCTGCAAAAGTCTACGTCGGGCAGTATGATCGTGAAGACGGTTTTAGTTCTAAGAAATAACAAGGTGGCCTGGTAATGGGACATAGTTTTGTAGTTGTACGTGAGTGAGACCTCGATTTCTCAATCCGGTCAGGCTGCTTCTCCAAATAATCTCATTTGGAGATAATATAAGGAGTCA